CCCCACCCCTTCACAGCGATGTCCTTTCACTGCCGAGGAGCTAGCTGTGTGCGTGTGTGAGATTTTATTTCACTCACTATGACACAGTTCTTCCCAATGTGGACGTAGGAACCAATCTGTGCTGCGTTGACCACGCAGTCCTCCTCAATGAAGACGTGGTCTCCAATGTGCAGCGGGAAGAAAGCCACCCTGCAGGGGGGGACAGGGCAGTGATGAGACAATATGCTTTTTCTACTTACCATATTCTCTCCTTTATTCATTTGTACAGTGACTTTAAATATATTGTGAGTGACAATAACTAAAAACAATCTCAAAGCATCTTCATCTTTATCTAGAACATAAAAGCACATGGCTGGCCTGAACGTGTGTCAAAGATACTTTACCCTTTGCTGAACTTTTTGAAAGGTGGTCGAATAACACTCCGGCTTTTCACCACGCAGTGTCTGCCCACCCTGACGTTAGCCAGGTCCCCCCTGATGATGCAGTCATTCATAACAATAGTCTGCAAGAGAGAACATCCAAAGACTAAGCTTTAGCACAGATGGACACTTTCTATTCACTAGTCATTTCCAGGTGTGTGTTTTCCTTACTTTGCCGTTCAAGACTATGTTTTGACTCCCACATAGTACCGACTGTCTGCTCACTTTGTTGCCAGAAGCCTGAAATCAAACAACAATCACTGTTAATAATCGTGTCTGTGTCTGTCCACATAAATGAGCACAAACAACCGTCTCTGCTATCCGCCCAACGCCCCGTTCACTTTCTGCTCGGACAGATAGCAGGCTACGTTAGCTTAAGCAGCGGTGATTAAAATCCCACACAGTACCGTCTCAATGTACTCCGCTTTGTTGTACAGTATTTCAGACAACTCCATGGCTGGAAACCCACTGAACTATCAAACGGCGTTTACTATTCTGCGATACTATCTAAAGCATCGATACGGATTTTCTCTATGGGAAGCTCCTTCTCCTTCTTCTCGTCTTCTGCGCAAGCCCGGACGTGACGCCATCAAATAACTTTATTTAAAATATCAGAAATCGAACAAAAAACAGACATAATAAATGTGCGCGTGTAAAGCTAAAATAATAATAATAATAATAATAATAATAATAATAATAATAATAATAATAATAATAATAAGTAAAGATTTTATAAACCCTGGAATAATTGTCTGTATATTTTGTGATAGTGTCTTTTTTGCTGTTTTTCTTCTTTTTTTAATGGTATGGACTAATCTTGTCTGACATTTTTAAAAATAGGGAGCCACAAATTGGTTCTTTGTAAAAAAAACAACAACTTATGTATTATTATTTTATCATAGATATACATATCCATATGTAAGTTTTGTTGTGTTTTCTTTTTAATGAACCCTGAGACAAACAGAAAGGCGGCTCCTCTGTGAAACAGCTCCACGCCGTGGAGGATTGTGATAAAGACTCTGGAGTATCTTCAATGAGACTAAAGACACTGAGAGGGTTAAGCTGGGTTTAACTGAAGTGGTCGCATGAAAAGCTACACGCGCCGTGCAGCACTGATGAGCAAAGTTAAAAACAAGAGTTTTTTTAAGCAGCTGGAACATTTAGAGAGAGGAAGAGCACTTTGGTGTGATTGTGGACACTCGAGGGTTTTCGTCCGAGGATATGTTATTCAGGCAGGTGGGACGGATGTAGAAGAAACAGGAGGATGAAAAGAACTGTCGCTCTTACAAACTGAAGTGTAATCTGCCTGAAACCCTGGAGACATTACTGCTACCTGGATCTAGCAATCAAGCAGTCAAAACTACCAGAGGAGTCAGAGAAAAGGCCGACACAGGGAAAAACACAGAAACACAGCTTAATCCATGTCAGAGAAACTGAGAATAAAAGTTTGTCTTTGTCCATTTTTATTGTCTAATTTGTGTAGACTTTATAACTTCATTTTAGCAGGAGCTCTTATTGTACACCTAAAGGGCTGAAAGCAACATCTTCTATACTTGTTTTTGTTTCATATGCACAATCAACGTCTTGTTTTATGAATGTGAAAGTTCATTTTTATTTTCCAGTTAAATCAAAGTCATTGGCAGTTTCTCAATGCCCATGT